TGTGTGTGTGTGTGTGTGTGTGTGTGTGTGTGTGTGTGTGTGTGTGTAGCGGGGGGTGGGGGGAGATGGCAGCGTAACCCGGGGACACTTGCTTTACACCTAACATTGGTTATAGGCTTCAGATTTAGTGACCCTTGACAGCTTCGGTGGCGTTCCATTGCTGAGCTTCTAGACTGAGCTGTGCCAGTGCACATTTACAAGGGCCCGGAGAGGGATCTCAGGAAGGTTTTGTAAGTTGCTTAAGTCCAAGGAGAAAGCGTCTAGGGAATTTAGACGATCCCTGGATTAGTGAGGTGGACAGGCACACAAGGAGGCCAGTTGGACGTAACTCTGGAATGCTAGGGAAATACTGGTTTGTAGGAAAAAGTTAAATATGTCATGTTATTCTCATCAGCCAGCCAAGAGTTGTGTGTGTGTGTGTGGTTGTTGACTCTTGTTGTGTGTGTGTGTTTTTCCTGTTTTTCGAGACAGAACTTTCTCTGTGTAGCCTTGGCTGTCCTGGACTTGGTTTGAAGACTGGGCCGGCCTCCAACTCAGAGCGATCTGTCTGCCTCTGCCTCCCTGAGTGCTGGGATTTAAGGCGTGTACCACAGTGCGGGCTCCACAGTGTGTTTGATAGCTACTAAAGATAGGGCAAGGGACCTGTGCCCCTGGAGAGCATTTACAGAGCAAGAGCAGAAATTAGACCCGGGAAAGCTAGGGTTGGGAGCTATGTGTAGAGGGGTGTTCTCAGTTTTGCATGATGCTAAGTCTAGCTATTATCTTTGGGACCGACAGGATGAAATGCCAGTTGTCTGAGAACATAGAAGAGGGATTTCGGTACTGTGATCCCCCACCACTTTCTGTTTTGGCTCATCCCAGCCTTCCCACTTCCCTCACTCCTCTGCAGATGAACTTCAGCGGCTCTGTGTAGCCAAGCCTAGGGGAGGATTTACCTATCTGTGGTGTTTGGGGCCCTTATACACTGGCTCCAGTTCCTCTTGCCTTCCTCAGCCAGCCCTTCTGAGTCTTGTCTTTTATCTCTTGCTTTTTCCTTTACACCCATGGCCCTGGCTTACACTTTTCTATATCAAGTTGGATTTGTACTCTCTGTCTTCCAAGACTGCATGACCCTGAGTGGTTTTCTTGAACAACTGAATGGGGTCCTTGCTTTCTTTTTGGCCCCTTCAGCCCTACCCTGTGTATCCTTTAGCATACCCTGTATCCCACCAAGCAGGGTTACCAAGGTCCTGTACTCAGCAAAGAGCCCTAGAGGGTGAGATGCCCAGTTCACCTTAGCATTTTTGTGCAGAATGAGGCTCTGGCATTCAGCAAGAGGCAGCATTGTCATTTACTGACTTCTTCATTGTTCACTTGGAGTCAGCAAATGCCTAGAGCAGCTCTGAGCCTGGAGGGTTGAAGCATTTAGCTCAAAATAGTCCCAGCCCACACAGCTGTGTACTTTTAAAAGAAGGCATCTGAACTATTTTGCCAGTCTGCTCTTTATTACCCAAGAGTGGGGGAGAAGACGGGGCATCATGCAGCCAGATGTGAGTGGACAGGGTGTGTGTGTGTAAGCAGGGGACGTGGTCCTCGGGCCTGGAAGGGAGAGAGTCCTTGGCTTGGGTGTTGAAGGAAGGAGACCACTTCATAAGGTAAACTGCCTCTGGGCTTGATCTGTGTCCTCTTCCTGGGGAGGTAGGCTTGTTAGTTGAGTCTCTAGGCAGACAGGTGCCAACCCGGATTCCGATTTAGATAGGATTCGGAGCATTTTACAGCAAGGAATTTGATGGTGCCTGTTCCGCTAGTGTTCCCTTTCGGAATGTTGCTCCTCAGAGTGTGGAGAGGTCTGTGTGGCTAAAGGCTGGGGCTGCACCTGGACTCCGTTGCTTGGTGCTCTGTTCTGTGGCTGTTGCCCCTAGTTATGTTCCCCTGTGGACTTGATTAACTAGGCTTCCAGAACATCTGGGCTGCTGGGCAGGGGTCCTTTGTACCTGCTTGCTTTCCATCTTCTTAGCTGGTAGGGCCTGAGACCTGCTCATCCGATCACCTATTGCGCCCAAGACCACTTGACTCTTGCTCATACTTCCCCTGGTGACGTGGTCCCATCTCCCGCCACTTTTGATCCTCCCCTCTCCTGGGTCACAGTGATGGTCTGTAGGCTGGGGCTCTTGGCTGACCCTTGCCCCTCTGCTCTCCATCGTCCCTCTCTGTCCTCTCATCCTTCTCATCAAGTTCTTGGACCTGGGGGCAAGGCCGCCTCTTCATGATTGGCACTCTGCCCTGTTCTTGTTCTGCTCAGTGCTCCTCTACCCTTAGCTGTGCTGTCCTCCATGGGCTCCCTGGCAACATTGTGTGGTCCTTTATGCATTTGTTTAGCTTTTGGTTTTCCGGTCCCGTAGGCCTCAGTTTCTCCCGTGCTGTCCAGTCTGGTAGCCATTAGCCACCCGTGGCTATGGAGACCTGGAAGCCTAGCTTTCTGAACTGGAAGGCGCTTTAACCATGAGATACACATGGAATTTATTAAGGGATATTTGATTCTTTTTTTTTTTTTTTTTTTTTTTTGCTAAGTCTTTGAAGTAACATTATTTTTTTTCAAATTATACAATTTTGATGTATTGGGTTAAATATATTAAAATTAGGGCTGCAGATGCCACTCAACAAATCCAATCTGAGACTAATAATGATTCAATTCCATTTTGACATGTCTGTAACAGATTTCCAATTCAAATCACTGGAAAAGAATAAATAACTATGATCTCTCTCTCTCTCTCTGTGAGCCTTTCTTTGAGTTGCTCTCTAGCTCTTTCACACACACATGCACACACACACACACACACACACACTCACACACACACACTCACACACACAGTACGAGCTATCGTGTATATATACACAAGTGCCTGTGTATATATACAACAGAGACCTTGTCTTCAGGTCCCTGTTTCTTTTGTTGAGCCTAGCAGACTGCTCTCAAGATCAAGCAATCCTCCTGTCTCAGACTTCCAAGTGCTGAGATTACAGGCACGAGCCACCACGTCTGGCTCTAGATCTTCATATCTTTATGAGGCTCTTGGTGTTATGTGAAACATACCACAGACTCAGGCAGTTAGAGGGAAAGACACTGTGTTGATTTTTCATGCTGCTGTGACGAAACCCCTGATAAAGACAGGAACTGAGCATGGAAGGTTTCAGAGGCTTCTGGGATCCAGTACTGTGGTCCTGCGGTGAGGCAGGAGACCATGGCCAGGAGGTCAGGGTGGAACAAAGCGCTTCATGTACCGGTCACTGGCAAGGAGAACTCTGCCCCTCGCTTGGATTCTCCTGGGACACCAAGTCTACACGAGAAGCTCCTTGCTGACCTTCTTGTGTTTATACCTGGAAAAACCCCTTGTTCAGCACCCCCTCCCTCCCCACCCTCGAGCTCCGAAAGCACACCCGAGTCTTGAATTTTCTGTTCCTCTGCATTACCATTCTGAGGGCTGCAAAGGGCAGGACTCCTGTGTCTCTTTAACACCTAGTGTCATTCCAGGAATAGGCTGGCATTTAATAAAGATATTTTTAGCAAAAGAATGCTGAACTCCCGAGCGTTTTACATTGTTGATGACTCTCCAGTTGCCCCCTGTGACGAGATGCGTGGTCACTGTGGGATGCCTATGGGGTGGGAACTTGGGTGGTAACTGCTCATTGTTTTAGCAATGAAAAAAAACTGGGGGGAGCCTGTGTTATCGTTGCTTATGAATTAACACTCCTGCCGTTTGCTTCTCCTGAAAGAGCCACTTTGCTAGACAACAGAAAAACAAAAACAAAAACAAAACAAAACAAAAAACAAAAACATGGATCCAAGGAAAAAGTTTAAAAAAGGAAAGATTCGTGTAGTGAAAGCCAGGAACTTTTAATTAGGCAGCCACATTGCTAAGGTGCGCATGGTTTTCCCTTTGGCATTCTTATTCCAATGTTAATGGCTAGAAGAGGAAGATGAAATGTGTGCACGTGGGGATATTCAGAGCAGTTCTGTTTCATAGAGAAAAAATTTAAATAACTAACATAGAGCTGAGTGTGCTGGTGCACACCTGTAATCTCAATATTGAGGAGGCTGAGGCAGGAGGATGATGAGCCGGGACACAGCAGGACCCTGTTAAAACAAAACACAAAATCCCAAACATACCCAGCAATTGACGGTTTAATGAATGATGGCAATCTGTAATGGGCTAATACTTACTGCCAGCTTGACAGGATCTAGAATCATCTTGAGGATGAACCTCTAGGCGTGTCTGTGACCAGGTTTCTAGACTGGGTTTCTTGAGGTGAGTGGATACACCTTAAATGTGGTCAGCACCATGGCATAAACTGGGGTCTCAGACAGTGAAAAGGGGAGAATGAGCTGAACACTGTTCTGTCTGTTTCCATATGACCAATGCCTCATGCTGCTACCATCACGACAGCCTCACCATGCTGGATT